TTTAGTAGGGATGCACGATATTGGGATTTTGGCCGATATATGATATGCCGATATTTTAAAACTCATGTAGCCGATAACCAATATCGATACCGATGTTAAAGCTGGACAAAAATAAGTAGTCATTGAAAATAGCAGTTTTGTTATCCATTTCTGACACTTTGAAAAATAATATACTCAAATTTTCATATGCTGAACTCTCGTGATATTTTGCAAATTGATTTTTAAAAACGCGGTATCGATCTATTTTACTTTCAAAATCTCGTGAAATTTCATCGTTCCATTACAAACTCTCGTGATATTTTGCAAATTCTTGTGAGATTTTGTTAGTAAAATAGATCGATACCGCGTCAATATATCAACATATAAAAATATGGCAAAATTTGGTGAATTTTCGGGGGATTTCGTAGCATAACGATGACATATAGCAATATTTCATTAGTAAAAGAGATTGATATGGTGTTTTTAAATGGCAATATATCAGCATATGAAGATATTGTGATATTTTAATGTATCAATATTTTTTCCCTCGTCTTTAGAAGTTTTTAAGTCTGTAAAAAGGAAGTTTTTGAGGAAGAAGAAGAAGTAGTATTTATATATATATTTTTTTTAGACTTTAGAAACTCAGAAGCCGATCAAATATCGGGTTAAATATCGGTGGGGTGGCCGATGTCCGATATTCAGTTTTAAGGCCGATACAGGCCGATACCGATAGGGGGCCGATTATATCGTGCATCCCTAATATTTAGCATTTAAGATTGGTTTTTTTAGAAATTGTCTGATAATATGCTCTACCCAGAAGCGGAGAAAGGTTTTGTTTCACTGGGTTTTATTCTGTAAAAAATCTTTTCAGGGATCCTTTTGCATTCCGATTATTAATCGATTCATAAAAAAAAAATAATCGACAGATTAATTGATTAGCAAAATAATTGTTAGTTGCAGCCCTAATTAGATCATATCAGAAGATGTTAAAAAGAAAAAAAACTAAGAATTGTTCTTTATCTGCTTAAAAATTGGGTGAAACCTTATAGTTAAAGCCAAATATGACACTGAAGTCTGAAATATGAAACATTAATCTTAGATATTAAATCAGGCTATTTAGAGAAGTTTTTAAAACAAGGTAGAACCTGTTCTTTTTAATGCACTAATAGGTTACTTCTATTAAAAGCCAGTACTGTATTTATGAAGCTGCAGGTCACTGAACAGAGAGTTTCCATCAGCTGAGCAGAGCTCCTTCATGAACAGCTCTACGTCCATCTGGGAGCCACAGAGAGCATCCATGTCTAAATAAGAGGATTTTAACCCATTTCAGGGTTTTTCTCTAAGTAATGCCATTAAAATCTGTTACGCTCTTACTTATGTGAGTGCGGCACATTAGAACTCTAGCAAAAAAATAGAAATAAAATAGATTCCCCATCCCTGGAGGCCCTTTGTCCCATTTGAGCTGTGAGGTCATTCGGCGGTCAGCGATGACGGACTGGAACGGCATAAAAAAAACATCATATATACAGTACCGTAGGAATCACCTTGTTTATTTACATTTTTATTCTTCCAACCTTCAAAAACTGAACTAATAACGCAGTTAAAGAGCAACTCTATAGATTAAAAACGATTTAAAACTAATGACTGATGATAAGTGCCCTACTTTCACATAAAACTAAAACCAGAAAGGCTTGAAAAAAAAAAAAACCTTTCAAAGACGCCACATCAGGGGGTTTGAACAAGAAGTGTACGACCAGCAGGCGTTGGTTCCAGTCCAACTGCCGGCTTCGCCACGGTGCAAGGCATTCATCATTATTATCATGGCTGTTAAGCAGGCCTAATTCCCCTTTAAAATCCACTGTCAGCTCTCTTTTGGCTGCTCTCTATGTCTCCTAAGCTTTGAATTCTCCCAAGAACTGGATCTAGGGCCGAGTTATCATGAAGACAAGAGCGGAACAGAAGAGCGGTCTCAGTGATCTGGAAGCCATCGGGTTTCTGTGTGAAAATCCTAAACCTATCAGCACTTCTGCCTGCTTAAAGAGACCTAATTGTGAATCCATGACTAATCTAAGTGAACGCTGTAGAAACCAAAAGGATGTAAGTCTGTTCAGAGCCTTAAAATTATAACATTTGCAGCAGGGCTTTAATTCAATCATGTCAGCCACTTATCTTTATGTTTTTTCTTACGACTTTATGGGACAGACAACAATATGTTAGTCTATCATAAAAAGTTTAATATGAATATTTCTGCAAGGCCTAATCACTCCCACCAAAAAGCATCCTCTATAAAATTTTAAAACCAGGGTGCAGCTGTTATGCTGATGCAGAGCTCATATCCAGAGGTTACATAACCCCCCTAGTAAACAGCAAGCAACCTTTTAATTTATGTCAGACACTGCTGGGTACAGCGAGGAGAGCAGAAGGATATGAGGGACCTATCATGGCCATGGCGACGGGACGGGGTCCATGGCTGAATGGATTAAGGGAATCTGTGCTTTGACTTGTTAAATGCATGTTTTAAGGAGGATAACAGAACAAACATGACATTCTGCTGGGAAGGTCTGCAGATGGACCAAACAGAAAGATAAACTTTAAACAATCAAAGAACTCAAACCCAAATATGTTTTTTTTGTTTTTTTCCCTCCTCCCTTGTGGAGTTGAGTAATTTTCCTAAAGCCTGTTATGTAAAATGATTTGTTGACCAGGTGCTGATCTATAAAATCCCTCCATGTGTTGATAAATCGGTGCAGCTCTTTAACACAGCGGTGCAGCAGCAGCGTTTAGTTCAACAGACCGACCTAAACATGTCATCTAACAAATGTTCGTTAAAACGATGTCTAAGACTACAGCTGCCAAATCGGGTCGTCCTTAGATATCCGTGACTCGGCATGCAGCCAGCAGACTCTCTGAACCCCTTACATAATGAGCAGTAGTTAGATTATATAGTCCTACTCTAAGCTGAGTAACAGAGGGTAGATATGGATATGATGGGCAGTGTGTCTCTGTCTGATGAGGCTTTACTGCTTTTCTGCAAAAGCCTGAACTGAAGTAAATTAAGCTTTAAAGGAGGTCAGGTAAAGAGGTACAAAAGAGCAAGGAACATTTCATCTGGTTTGAAAAGCTACAATGATAGAAAATTAAAGTTTTAATGTTCTTCTGAACTCTGTTTACAGCAGTGGTAATCATACATTGTTTAAACTACCTTACAGCAAATATTTCTTCCTCTTATATGTAAAGAACTGAAACATTCAGCTTTATCAGTCAAAACCGATGTCTGGATATCTCTGAGGTCTGACCTATCCAGTCTGATAATAGAGTAGTTTTTTGTTCTCCAAGAAAAAAAAAAATCATAATATCATATTTCAGTGATAGAAAAGGAGAAAACGCAGAAACTACACGTTACACCTACTGCTGGGTGCATAGAAATGCTTTGAAAATAGACATTTCTGTTAAATTTAGGGCTGAAACAATTAATACTGGAGTATAGAGACTATAAATCATGACTTTATTTGACAGAGCAGTAATAGGATATATAAAATGCATTTAAGGTGAAAAAAATAAAATTAAATTAAAAAATCTCTCAGTCCATCAATATATCTCATCCAGAACTCAAGTGGAAGAGTTTTAAATTCCCTTTGTTTAATTTAAGATTTTCTTTAAGGAACAATTTTGATTATTAATTGAAGAAATAATTGACAGATATATCAATTAGCAATATAATCGTTAGTTTCAGCATTAGTTAAATCATTAGAACAAATAGGATTTAAAAAAAAACAAAAACATTACCAGCTAAATGAGATTAAATTCTCAAAGTCTATTAGTGGATAACTATAGACATGAAAGCCAATTCAAAAGTTCAATGAGGTTCTCCTAAGAGAAATATTAAAACTGATGGAAATCTTTTTATTTTGTTTTGGTGCTTTGGTGGTACAGTGATTAGCGCACACGACCCATGTATGGTGGCCTTAGTCCTCAACGCCGGCAACCCGGGTTTGAATCCAGCCTGGTGTCATTTCCTGCATGTCTCATACCCCCTTTCCTGTCAGCCTACTGTACTGTCCATAAAAACGAGCCACTAGTGCCCCATAAGCCATCCCCCAAAAAAATTATCTTTAAAACATTTGGCCCATCCATTTTTTACATAAAACATTTGACGATCACATGAAATAAAAAAATTTTGGGATCTTTCTTTCCTGTGCCAGGGCTCACATAGCAGAACGTGGGCCCGTTCTTAAATCAAGCAAAAACGTAGCGATCGTCTAGATGAGGAGTTTCCAAACGTTTCAGCCCAAAAACATAACAGCGACAGGAAATCCCTGAAAACATAGAACCATTATACTATATACTTATATATATATATATATTTATTTAAATAAATAATTTTGTTAAATCATTTAAAACAATAAATTCAATTATTAAATAATCATGCATTTGTGAATTAGCTAGTGACAGTTCCATTTGGAAGCAGACCAAAGTTATTTGTCATTTTTTGTCCATTATTTTTGCAGGTGGTGGGAAAGAGGAATAAAATACGGTAGCTTTCCGGCCAAAACTGGAGATTTGAAAACTACATGTGTGCATGTTTATCTACCTATTCATATATTTATTTTTTTATTCATCTAGCTCACATACATACATACATACATACACATATATATATATATATATATATATATATATATATTTACCTGAATGTTGTTCCTTTTAGCCCTCCTAATGCCTTGAGGGTCATTGCTTGATGGTTTTAGGAAATCATATTTCAACAATGGTCTGTTTGATCGACATTTTACAGCATTTTAGTGCAATTTCTTTTGCCACCATAAAAGACTCCCGATTGTTTGTATGCATGTATGTATATATATATATATGTATATATATATATATATATATATAGATATATATATATATATATCTATATATATATATATTTCTAACAAAAAAATGAACATTTTAATGATCTCTTGGAGTCAAGAAATCCCCAAAGAATTTAGATAGCAGAGGGAAAAAGCTTTTAACCGTACCTCCATGGCCAGAGCGGCCGTCTGCTGGTCGTAGTGGTTCATGCTGTTCGGCATGAAGGTGGAATTATATGGCAGCCCCTGACACATGCGCAAGGTGATCGGCTCGCAGGTGAACAGGCTGTGACTCCCCGCCGCCGCATCCATAGGGATGGCTACACAGGCAGCTAGCATCGACACAGAAAGCACCCACAGGAGATCCATGACTGGTCCCCACATTAACAAAAAGGAGAGGAAACCCCCAGGAGATGGCTGCTTAGGATGAAGGGTTGACCTCTGTTGCCATAAGGGTCATCTACCACGTCAAAGGAGAGGGAGGGCTTGAATTTCCTGATTTTTTTTTTCCTTGTCGGATCAGAGAGAAGCAGTCCGAGCTGGTTGGGACAGTCCAATATGTTCATAGTTAAGGCTAAATGGATCCATCATTGGGTAGAAGCCAGTCAGTGTCCACCAGTAGAGAAGCTGGGCTGCTTCAGGGACAAAAAGGCTCCGATCTGGACAGTCAGCAACCTGCAAACAGAAAAAAAACAGACCAAAAAACTGGCATTAGGCGGTGAAAATAAAGCAAAGCTGCATTAATCATCAGTAGAAATATTTTTTAAACAAAATGAGATGCATATTAAATCCTCCTGTTTAAGCTTTTTTTTTTTTTATATATAATTTATTTCTATTGAAACAGACAAAACATGACAAAAAAATTACCAGCAATAAACTGAATAGAGTAAAATTCTCCACAGAAAAATGGTTATTTAAACATTTCATATTTTCATATGAACCTTATCAGAGTTTTCTAATATTTATTATGTGTTGTTTTCATAAACGGCCATTTTTCTCCATATAAGCAGGCTGATTAATGTCAGCACACACCCAGATGCCTGAACGTCTCCATTCACCCACACCTAAAACAGCATTCATCATATCAAATGGACAGGTTATTATTGGACATTTATGCTATTTAAAGGTAAATATTAACAGGAGTGTAGGCAATTAATGCGGTTAAATCGCTGTTTAGCTCCTCTATCTACAGACTCATTTATCCACTTTATCGTTGTTAAATGAAGCTAACTCAGCCCACCGGCTCACTTTGCTCTCACGGTCCGACTCTCAGCCACCAAAACACGGACTGAAGCAGAGAGAAGTGAGCCAGAGCTAACAAAAGATGACGGTGGCTCCGTCCTCCAGGCTGATAGTAACCGGAGCAGAGGCAGCCAGCTCCGCTCACCGGTGTTATCATTCACCGCAATGAGCCGCCGGGGCGGCACCGCGGAGCCCCGGTGACTCCGGAGAAATACCCCACCCAGATATTAACGGAAGGAGAAACAAAACTTTACCGAAAGGTTCTCCCAGGAATTTCACTTGCAGCAATAATGGTCTCCGCAGCTCGTCCACTTTGTAACAATGAACCTTCTCCTCCTCCTCCGACCAGCCTCACTCACCTCCTCTCCTCCTCCTTCACTAACGTTCCTCTACGACAAGAGCGCGAGACTTTCAAGATGGCTTCCAGTCCGAACCTATCAAAATAAAAGACTATTTAGTAAGTCTAAAAAAGTCTGAAAGAGGAAAACATACTATATTGTGTGTATTGTCATTATTTTGTTATAGTATAGTATAGTATAGTATAGTATAGTATAGTATAGTATAGTATAGTATAGTATAGTATAGTATAGTATAGTATAGTATAGTATGATATAGTATAGTATAGTATAATATAATATAGTATAGTATAGTAAAGTATGGTATAGTATAGTATAGTATAGTATGATATACTATAGTATAGTATAATATAATATAGTATAGTATAGTAAAGTATGGTATAGTATAATATAGTATGATATACTATAGTATAGTATAATATAGTATAGTATAGTATAGTATAGTATAATATAATATAGTATAGTATAGTATGATATACTATAGTATAGTATAATATAATATAGTATAGTATAGTAAAGTATGGTATAGTATAATATAGTATGATATACTATAGTATAGTATAATATAGTATAGTATAGTATAGTATAGTATAATATAATATAGTATAGTATAGTATGATATACTATAGTATAGTATAATATAATATAGTATAGTATAGTATAGTATAGTATGATATACTATAGTATAGTATAATATAATATAGTATAGTATAGTATAATATAGTATAGTATAGTATGATATACTATAGTATAGTATAATATAGTATAGTATAGTATAGTATAATATAGTATAGTATAGTATGATATACTATAGTATAGTATAATATAGTATAGTATAGTATAGTATAATATAATATAGTATAGTATAGTATGATATACTATAGTATAGTATAATATAATATAGTATAGTATAGTATAGTATAGTATAGTATAGTATGATATACTATAGTATAGTATAATATAATATAGTATAGTATAGTAAAGTATGGTATAGTATAGTATAGTATAGTATAGTATGGTATAGTATGATACATTATAGTATGGTATAATATAATATGGTATAGTATAGTATGATACAGTATAGTATAGCATAATATAGTATAGTATGATATAGTATTGTGTAGTATGGTATATTACAGTATAGTATAGCATAGTATAGTATAGTAGGGTATAGGATAGTATAGTATGGTATGGTATAGTATAGTATAGTATAGTATAGTATAGTATAGTATAGTATAGTATAGTATAGTATAGTATAGTATAGTATAGTACAATATGGTATAGTAGTATGGCATTGAAAGTATTACTGAATCAATAACATTTTTGAATTTTACAGACTAACATCAACAATTTGAAAATTAAGTTGTTACATTTTAAGCTTCCGCCACATTGAGATAATACCACAGTTCCCAGCTCAGGAGCTGTAATATATCCAACAATATAATATTTTCCTGTTTGTTTGTTTTTTTTTTTGTCTTGCATTTGTTCAGTGCCCTCATACGCAACACAGGGGCTGAAATCATTTAGGAGTGTAAGTTTCAGGTTATGACCTGATACTTTTCAATATGCTTCCATCAATCATTGCATGTTTTTTCCAGTCAAAATTTTCATTTAGAAATGTCTGATTCAGATTTGTTTTCTTTTTCACCTGTTTCTACCAGTCTTGAGCTATTGTTCGTGTTTTTTTCCCCCTTGTTTTACTATTTGGGGCGCTTCTTCAGGCTACTTCCGGTCCAGCGCTGGGTGAACATCCCTAACTTGACGTCACTCCACTCTCGCTTCTCTTCTGTAAATGTAAACTTTTCAGACCTTTTTTTGATCCATTTGTTGCTGAAAATGATATACAAACATAAAACACATTTCTATGGGGAATAAATCTGAAAAAGAAAACAATAACAATAAAAAACTAAATAACTAAAATAAATATATTTATTTTTCAGATGCGGTCATCTGTTAGCCCATCTGTTAGAGGCAAAATCTTATAAAATCTCTAAAAATTTTATTATTTTAGTCTTCTACTCTACCTCTAGCTAGGACTCCCCCTGGTGTGTGGCAGGCAGTGGCAACCTGTCCACGCTATTATAGTGTCCACACAGGGTTACTATGGAAACGAGTCAACCGTGCAGAAGAGAAACTGTAAAGTAGAGCAGAAGTAGAGTTGGATACAGACGTGCATAAGGTAAGCTCAGGAGCTACATTTTCAAAAAATATTGCAGATGGTAAGTTTTAAAAAGTTTTTAAATGCAGAGCTGAGTTTACTATGTTTTAATACGATGCAGTTATACAAAGTAGAGTGGAAAGTATGAGACACTACATTAGATATTCTTTCGAAGTAAATTTTTTAATGCTAATAAGTATATATTTTTTAATGTTACCTTTAAAATTATATATATATATATATATATATATATATATATATATATATATATATATATATATATATATATATATATATATATATATATATATATATATATATATAAATTAGGGTTGTCACGATACTAAACTTTTCAACTCGATACTTCGATACTCGATGTCATTTTCGATATCACAAGGATAAAAACAAAGACTCCAAAATTCAACAGACATTTTTTCATTAATAAACAAAATACAATAAATAGATAAATACACACAATAAACAATATTTTGAGGCTGTATGCTGTGCAAAATATTAATCAAGCTTCATAAAAAAAACTTACAAAACCTAAATTGAGTGTTCCTTCATTGGCTATGCTTTACACACATAACAATGACACTAGCCAAACCAGTTAAAACACAAAAAATAATTCTCAGCAGCTGCACCTCAGGTGCAGCAAAGCAACCCTATACGATGACATCTTCATCTCTGTTCTTCATTATTGGTTAGAGGTTATTCTCTAGTAATGTTCTAAACAGGTTATTCCAAACATGTCCTATCCTAGCGTACAAATATTTCTATCAACTCACCTCTCTAAAAAATGTTATTTCCTCCCTGAACATCTCTAATGAGCCTCATTCATTCTCTTTGCTGCTGTAGATCCTGTCAGGGTTTTTGGATGCCACTTTCATCTTTCCGCAAGAACTTACTTGGACAGTCACTCTAACGTTGGCAGTTCTTTTGAATGTGTGTACACCATTTTCTGTACAATGAAATGACTTATATCCAGTTTGTTGACTATTTAAACTCATAATCACTGCTAGAATGATCTTCCTTAAGAACCTCAAACTTTAGGATCTATGCAATGCAACAATGATCTTATCATCTCCACCTAGTTGTGCCCGCTTGTGTGTAATATCTGCCATTGTAGAAGAGAATAAAAGCAGGGGAATTCTAATTTATCCTTCACCAGAAACAACCTTAAAAAACACAGAGCTATGCTCTTAGTTTTTGTTACTTAAAAGGTGAGGGAATGAGGAAAGCAGCAAAAATTTTTGAAAATAGATTTTTATTTCACCTGATAAACTTCAGGAGAGACAAAGTTCCAATTATAACCGATGAGGTTATTAGATAAAGCAACTTGATACTAATACACAGAAAAAATGGCTAACAGAAAATGACTAAAGCAGAGAAAATATGCAGAATTTCACTGAGAAAACTGACCTAAACAAGATGACAGAGGAGGAGAACTCACATAATTTATACCCAACAGGGAAAACAGAACTCAGTGAGCAGGGTTGACCTGCTGATCTGGCCTTGCTCTCTTCCCCCCCAGCTCTGGACCACGCCCTGCTGGCCCGCCACTCAAGAAAACAGAAAAAGAACTAAAATGACAAAGAACATCTTTATAATCACACAGTGCTTTAAGTAAATTGACAAAAATACACACTTAACTGCAAATCGAATGAATGTATTTTTTTCACAGATCTATGATTTTCCTAAACAAATGAGCATGTCTTCAACAACAGTTTCTTAGCGTTTCTGAATATATTACAATGCTTTTATTTAGTTATTTACTTAAACAAGCTTCTAACTCTACTAAGAGCTTCTTCATCTTCTCCTAGATAAATTAAAGTTTTAAATTTTAGATTTTATTAAGATTTTAAATTTCTAAGGCTGATTAAAGCTTTGAATCATTTATGAATGATATCTTGCTTTCCTTGTATATAAACATGGTGACTCAGAGGCTCTTTCTTTGTTCAACATTCCAACCAGTATTTTGGCAGAAAAAGGGCTTTTCTTTCATAGAACCATAAACATTATCATATGGATATTACTAAACCCAACTGGAACTGTATGTTTTGCTTGGATCAGACTAAAACCTCTGCTGCTGGATTTCATTTGAAGCAAAGGATAATGTTATATATGGAAAAAATACTCATCTACCATCTACTATTGGCTGCAGAGAAGGATCTGTAATTCATAACATCATGAACTGTTTATAATATAAGGAAAAACAAAACCAGAGTCTGCTGCTGGGTTATCATTTGGTCTTTTAGCAAAAAAAAAAAAATAAAGATCCTAAATAAATATCCAGATTAGTGCAAAAAGGGTTAATTAGACACATAGAGCGTTTACCAGTTGTGTCTTTGTGTTTCCTTCAGATGCCGCTTGAATCAAGGCCCTCAGCCAACTCTGCAAAGATGCAAACCAAGCGGAGCGCCTGGACCCCTCTGAACCATCCACTCATCAACAGCAAGGTCCACATCAGCCGGTTTTCAGAGGCACTGCTCATGTGTTTCTATTAAAGCAAAATGTTTTATTTGGCTAGGTAAAAAATAAAAGTTGAACATTGGTATTTAATTAAAAAAATCCTCCTTTGATTCCCAGATTTTTGATGAGAGGAGACTCCTTCTGGCAAAATGGGTCTGTTTATGAGCAAACCTCACACAGACTACATTTAAAACTGATGCCTTTGCTAAATAGGGTGATTATTTTGGTCTCTATTAGTTTGACAGGTGGTCAGACAGTCAGAGGAAGGCTGTGCTGCAGGATTTTGTGCTGAACTGTTCTGAGGAGCAGCTCCAGTTCCTGAACCTCAAAGTGAACAAGGTGCTCCCCCTGCAGGCGGCAGACTTCACCTGCCTGCTGCCCAGAGTCCTCTGCCTCTACTTATTCTCCTTCCTGGACCCTCGCAGCCTCTGTAGATCTGCTCAGGTACGCATTGCTGAAAGCAGCTCAGGAAGTCCTACTTTCATGTCTATAAGGGTGTTTCTCCCTGTGTGAAAGGTGAGCTGGCATTGGAAGAGCATCGTGGAGCTGGACCAGCTGTGGATGCCTAAATGTCTAAGGCGGGGCTGGTATATTACCTTCTCCCCCTCACCTTTTGAGCAGGGCATCTGGAAGAGACACTACATAGAGTCAGTTCAGGAGCTGCAACTCAAACTGCTGCAGGTCAGGAGAATTTCATGCAGTGCCTTGCAAAAGTATTCCTACCTTTATTTTTGTCATGCTATCAATCCTCAGTATATTAAAGTAGCACATATTTGCACAAGAAAAGATGATCTATTTTATATATTCTATTATGTATTCTATTACTTTAGATTATCTATTTTTCAATAGTTTAGCAAAGAAGACATACCAAAAATGTCAGACAGACACACATAACGGAAAAGGACTTTTTAGTTCTATTCTGGTTGAACCGGTTGCTGGTTCTACTCACCATTTTGTGTGTGTTGGGTTAGTCAGGGTTGGGGACATTTTGTGGCTTTAGAAACTGATTTGAAAAAAAATGTTCAAAGACTTATGAATTGACAGTCACTTTAACACAAAAATCTAAAGTTCAAAACGTCTATTATGTAAATGACCGTCTCAATGTGTCTTCATACTCTTTATTTATGTGCAAAGGAGCTACAGCACAATCAATCATATTCACCAGACCTTATTTAGTGTTTCAAAAAGCAAAAATCCCAAGACAAATATGCTCTAAGCAGTGGTGGATCCAGCAAATCTTCATAGGGGGGGCCAGGCAGGGACCAGTATACACTGAGTTGTGGCAGAAAACTGATAGGCATCAAAAGCAATTACCGTATTTTCACGACCATAAGGCGCACCGGACTATAGGGCGCGTTTTTTATATACAGGTACATGTCCTCTACTACCTTTAAATAGCTCTACTGCGTATTTAAAAATACAGCGGGGGCAAAACTGAGTATGACTGTGCTTTATTCATGTATTTATTACAAAGTATTAATCAAACCTGGCAGCTGGCCGTGAGACAGACACATCGCAGATGACACAGCGCTGTGATCACTCCTAAATTAACTTAAAATCCTGAAACCTGCCGACGGAATATGTTTGCTTTTATTGCCGGTATCCTGGTGCCTGCAGCTAAAATTATTTAGATGAAAAACACCTGCCAGCCGCCGCGGTGAGGCTGCTGTTGAAGGGATTTCTACTGTCGGTGCACCGCTGGTATGTGGGGGTCTGAGCGCCTCCGACAGAAATAGATAATCTGGATGAACTGACTGCAATTATTAAGTTTTCAGGTGGACTTTCTCACTTAAAAACATATTAAAACTACTTTATTCCCACTGATCACAGCAAATATAGCTGCAAGATTTAGATTATTTAGATGAAAAAACACCTGCCAGCCACCGCGGTGAAGAGGAGGAGATGCGCCCAGAGGCTGCTGTTGAATTAAGTTTTCAGGGAGAAAAATACAGCGGGAGCAAAACTGAGTATGATTGTGCTTTATTCATGTATTTATTACAAAGTATTAATCAAACCCATCAAAGTCATCATCCTCTGTTTCTGAATTAAACAGCTGCGCTAAATCAGACATGCCAGTTTCCCCTTCTGCGCTGTCAGAGTCACTTTCCGTGCAGCGCGGCTCCTCAGAAATAATGCCGGCTTTTGCGAAAGCTTGAACAACAGAGCCAGCAGACACGTAGTAGTCCAAGCATCTACAATCCATCCGCAAACGGTGGCGTAACTTGCCCGGCGCTGCCTTCCACTTATCCTGAAACTGTGCTCTCCGTCTGTCATCCATCGCTCCCAGGCGCTCGCAGCCTTACTTTGAACGTCCGCTTCAAACCGATGTCGAGCGGTGGAAGTTCCTTTGTCAGACCCCCGGGATAACGGCGAGCACAGCGTTCATTTGATTCACCTTTTTTTCACATCGCCTGTGAGATGGGCACGCAGCGATGGTGATGCGTGGAAAAAACCACCTAGTCTTCTCAGATACACCTGCCTCAGCCACGCATCCACCCAGCCCTTTTCATCTAATATCATATGTCATCAGAGCGCTGTGTCAGTCTCGCTGTCAGCTCCCAGATCAGCTTCTCTGATTGGTTGATGCGGCGCGTCCAGCAGCAAAACTTCAATTTTTCCATGTCGAGCAGCAGCAGCGCGTTGGCGGCGCTTCAGATGCTTAAACGCTCCCGACGTGCTGCACCAAAACGCGCTGCAGGACCTTTTGCTGCACCTATATGCGCGTCAACCATTGACTTTGCATGTAAACTCGCTGCTTCTGCTGCACCTGCTGGGTCCGGTTCACACCGATGTGGAGCGGTTGAACAGCGAGCACAGCATTCATTTGTTTCCCCATGTTTTTCACATCAGCTGTGAGATGGGCACGCATGGAGTTACATATTAACAGCGATGGTGAGGGGTGGAAAAAAAACACCTGGTCTCCTTACATTCAGCCACTCTTTCATCATCTCCTCAATGAGGTGGTCTCAAAAGTCGCAGTTACAACACACATAGGGCGCACCGCACCATAGGGCGCACCACACATTTTGAGGGAAAAAAAAGACGTTTAAGTGCGCCTTATAGTCGTGAAAATACGGTATGTGTCAGTATGTGCAGATCATATGAACCAACAGGAAAATAAGGCACAACATAAATTATCCCCCCCCCAAAAAATCACGGAAGATGGATCAGATTTTCATGAAGTCCTTGATAATAAAGCTTTTTCAAGTTTTTATACATTAATTTATGTTGCTATGTAATATATAGATCTTTAACTACCTAGAAGACTTCTAGATGACTGCAGACTTTCCTTTATAAAACCTAAAACATGATCTCTGTATTAAGTATAGGTATAAGCATGATCTCTCTTTTAGTTTCCGTCATATCTACTATGATGTTGTAAATAATTAATTGTTGTATTTAAGTTGTCATTTTTAGAAAATAAACCTAAAGGACATTTCGCTTGATGGCATCATCGCTGCCACCTTCTGGTTTAATTAAGAAGTGCTTGTTCCACAGATGAATTACACCCACATTGGTACAGCAAAGATTGACTTAGGGGGACCATGACAGGACTACACTGAAAAACAGGCCACCTAAATTCATAAACAAAGGAGTTGATGGCAGCAGGACAGCTGATATTTCTCTCCAGGATGTAGTCGCAGCCAAACAGGAACATGCCAGATGAAGCTACTATGAGAAAAAGCAGAGAGAGAATAATGTTAGAGATCTAACTAACAGATTCTGCAGAGTGAGAGAATAGAGGTAGAATGAAGCAGAATGATGAAAAGGGGTCTCTATGTCCTCCAGCAGTCTAAGCCTATAGCAGCACAAATGCGGAATTAGCTCAGGATAACCTAAGTATTTTGGATAGAGTATAAGAAAGGTAGAGCTACTGTGGGGCCAAGATAGAGCCAAGATCCCAAATGGAGATGGAGAAAAGTATAACTCAGGGTTTAAAGTTGGATGGTAAAAGGTATGCGGTACCTTTTGTTTGCTCAAATGAGATGGCTGACTTTAGCTTTATCTATCTTCTTAGCAAAAGGTTGGTTGCAATGGTTTTGTCACATGTTAAGATAAATAGATATTTTAAAAAGCATGTTTTTTTTTCCCATTTAACAGATGATCCAAACTAAGAAATACTTGAAAAGCTTTCAAACTCTCAGACTTTGGACTTGTTTAGTGTTACCCATTCTGAATTTACACTTAATAATTACTTGGTCCAACCTATGGGGTCTAAGGCATTGCAATGATAAAAAAAAGTGGTTGTTACATGAGAAAAAAATGTTACAAAGCTTTAGTCGAGGTAGCAGCATTAAAAGTGTGTAGTGTGTTTCCAGACACAGTCGATTCCACAGGAGACTATAGTACCTGATGCTACAGCAGTGAGTGGTGGATGCAAAGGAGCACCAGAACCGGCCCACAAAAGCAAGGAGGGTCCACTTTCCAGCTCCCAGCCTCCTGCAACCAGCTCAGGATTAAAGACAGAAAAGAAGGCAAAGGCTTGGCCACCATGGAGACACTCAGACAGACATCCCAAGGATACAATACGCTTCAACTACCTGGACAACCTGCATCCCATGGATCAGGCCCTGACATAGTGGGTTTCAGGATACTGGGTGATATGGGCTTTTAATACAGCTTTTTAAACCTCTACAATTAAAGAAACTACAATGTAGATGTCCTAACTGCTTCATTTATAGTTATTTTGAAGTCATTCTAACGACAGGTCTTCATTTACTTACTGCAGCGGTGGATCCCAGAGCAGTGAAGGGAAGAGGAAAACGCTCTCTGAAGCCAGTTACAAACTACGCAAAGCAAAATCAATGGTAAATCCCACCCTATGCTGCACCACCGCTGGCTGAATTTCAGGGAGCAATAAGCTCTGCAACCGTGTAACCAGTAGGCATCATGAATTTTAAAATTAAAAACACACAGAGAGGAGGAGCAGAGGGAGAAACAGGGATTGCTGTTACAGCAGCTTAACTTTAGCTCACATTCTCCTATGTCCCAAAACTTAACATTTCATGTATTTCATAGGGAATTTTATCATAGAGCCACAAAGAAAAAATGTCCCCTTAGCATGATGCAGCCACCACCATGTGTCACCATGGGGACGGTGTGTTTAGCAACCTCTTTATGAGACTTCTACATTTTTTAACATTGGTTTTCTGCTTTTTCAGATGTTCCCGAGAACCCAGCGCTCCTCTCCACCTCCTCCTTATTGTCTTCCCTCAGATCATCATATCCAAACTCGCCCTTTATGGGCTTCTCCCCCTCAGGAGCAAACTTTAACCAAGGAGACGGCCATGAGCCTGCTAAAGCAAACCCAGTGGAACGCAGGGATCCGACCCAGGCCGGTGAGGACTCCAGTACCGCAGCTAAGCATGCAGGCCCTCAGGGCATCCCAGCGCTCACAGCGGAGCCCCCCCAGTAAGGCATCTCACTTGCTCTGATTTTTTGGGGCAGAATTTGATGCAACTGCATGTTAAGAGAAATATCCACAGGAAGATAGATACGGAATATGACTAATTCTGCCAAAAAAAAAAAAATTATTAGCAGCTTGTGAACTTATTAGGGATTTTAGAACATTATTTTCTTGCTGAGAATTAACTGCAATCAAATGTTTAATTTAAATGGTTATTTTTTTCCAGTAATATCCAGGACTTAACTAGAGGTAAGTAAGGTTTTTTTTTTCCTGTAATGATTTCTTAAAAAGAAAATCTAATCCAGAGCTAATGATGCGTTATCTGGAGGGTGTGCATCCATACACAACTAAAGAGTTATTAGAATCACTATACCAGTAATGCAACTTCATTTTCTAGGTTATCTAAAAATAAAAACCCTTCCTTTTGATAATAATATCTCATTTGATGTATTTGGAGATAAAGGTGTTTGTTTAACACAAATGATCTTAATCTAAAACTTACCGCTCTGTAGGGGGGGGCACACAGTACAGCTATTTATTAAGAGAAGTTTTAGCCTTTAGCACCATGTAAAAAGGTATGTTAGTGCCCCTGTACCACAGTTACAGAAGTATTCAGTCATTTTTAAATCATTTATTATTTTATTAGTTACATGCAACACAAATATTTTGAGTTGCCCCTTTTAATCGTGATAAAAGGATGATATATTTTGCTTTTGCTTTGTTTGTTTCAAATCCTTGATTATTTTTTCTACCTACATAAATTAAATAAGTATCTTTAAAGTTCTTGAATTGCTTTCAAGCTTTAAATGTAAAAATTTTAGCATTAAATAAATTGGCATGTTTGTGTCGTCAGCATATTGTTGTTTTTATAAATCAGAAATATTTTCATATTAGTCTGATTTTCGATATATTTGATCATGAGACACAAGGCAAATAATTATGATAAAGTTTCCACTTTTTGGATGAACAAATTTGTTCAAAGCTCAAAGAATAGAGTAGAATTCACCTTTACTCTCATTAAACTGTCACAAGTTCAAAGCAATGGAATTCACTCTGTATTTAACTCATAACATGTCCTTGGAGAAACACTCTAAACAGTAAGTTAGGAAATGTTACTTCCAATTAAGGAATATTTTCAAATTAAGACACTGATGTCAAAGGGTGAGTTGGAAATGATTATTCATGCTTTTATCTCCACGGTTAAACTATTGCAACAGTCGTTTTACTTGTTTGAAGAAGGAGTTTTACCGTCTTCAGGTTTTGTAGAACTCTGCTGCAAGACGTTTAACTCACATGAATAAAAGAAAACACATTACACCAGTATAAGCAGCTCTGCACTGGTTACCAGACCAGTATAGAATCAAATTTAAAACCTTTGTTCTTACTTTTAGAGCCCTGCATTTTCAAGTTCTTCCCTACATCTCTGGGCTGGTAGAGCTCCATACTCCATCCTATAGTCTGAGGTCAACAGGCCAAACAATGTTTGTGGTTCCACACACTTGTTTTAAAACCAGAGGGGTTCATTCATTTCAGGCAGCGGCTCTGAAGCTGTGGAATGCTTTGCCTCCTTTTTTACCCTGCATGAATTCTATTGATTCTTTTAAAAAGCAATTGAAGATGCTACTATTCAAGCAGGCTTTTAATTAGACATGTTTTTTATGGCTTTGTTTGTGTGTTTCCATTTGTATTTAAAAATGTTGATATACATTGTTTTATCGTATTACAATTTTTACTGTGAAGCACTTTGTGATTTTTATCTGTGAAAAGTTCTATACAAATACATTTTACTTACTTGCATCCCCTTGGAGAGCAGTGGGCTGCCCTTGTGCGGCACCCAGGAAGCAGTGTGTGGTGAAGTGTCTTGCTCAGGGACCCAGAGTGGCAGTCTGTGGGAGTGGGACTTGAACTCAGAACCTCTGGTAGCCAGGCATAATGCCCTAATCACTAGGCCGCCACTCCCCCTTTGTTTTTCAGTCAGCTGAACTCAAGCAATAATAAAGAATGCACTTATAAAATATGCCGATGGTAAAAAAAAACTGTCAGTTTATAATAATAATAAAAAAATGTTACACAACATAAATGTTTATTTTCTTTGCTTGCAGGTAGACCACTGTTCAGTGTTTGAAGTGGAGCTCCACATTGCCCCCAGCAGGGCAGGAAGAGAAGCACTGAGCACAGCTGTTACCCTTTTGGATTATTTCTTTTAAATCTTTCTCATAGTTTTTTGCCAGGAATAAACAGATATATCTTAAGGAATCATTTTAAGGACTTTAACAGAAATGCTATGCTTTGAAAGTGATCTCAGAACCCAACATATAGAAAAGTAACAACAGTCTGTTTTAATAAGTTATATCTGTTTTAAGATATATCTGTATCTTGTAAATCTTTGATTTGATGTCATTTCTCAAAATCTGAGAGATTTCATTCGTTTCTATACAAAAAGAAAATAAAGTAGAAAAAAATACTGTGCACCAAACTGAAATAATAGCATTAATAGAATATATTTTTAAAATATATTCTATGTATTTTAATTTGTTTAATAGTATTTTTTAACTCAATTGCAATACTAATTCTGTCCACAAGATGGTGTAGTACACATCAATATTTTTAACCTTAAAAAACAAAACCATATTAACTGGTTCTTATTGCTTTTGTCATTTTAGTGTTTTTTAGTTTTTCAGTTTCATTCATTTCACACGGAAATTTTGGGGAATGAAAAAGATGTGTGACTTATTTATGGACACTAAAAAGAAGCATTATGGGACTGTAACGCAGCACAGGATCAAAGAATAGGGGAAAAACGGGTAAATGACCAAAAACCTGGTTTTCAAAAATTGTATTTTTTTCCATATGCTTTCTAAAATTAACCTATCTTCATTTCAATTTATTTAATTCAGCAATTGGCTTTATTTAAAACGCTCAGAGGCATCTATACACCTCAGCCTTTACACAGCTGACCTAAAATGATTCACAAGCCTCTGCAGGACCTATTTATGGCTGCTGAGGAGGGAGTCAGGTGTTCTGGAGCAGAAAAGCATCTGTAATCCATTATGTTTGGATCCATGTGCTGATATGTTTCCTGTGTTGGAGAAACCTTCCCTGTTCAGTTACAGGTGGAAACTCGCATGCAGCCAAGCTTTAACAGCAAGAATTAGTCAATGAAGAATCGATAATAAACTTTCTACCTGGAGCCACTTCTAAGAACATTATTGGGTGAAACTATCTGGACATCGTTGCTCCTGATGCACAAACTCTAACCTCGACCTTCATGGTGAAAGTCCCTCTGGTTCCAGAATCCTCTCATGGTTCTTTATCTGCTGCAGCTTTTCCTTTCACTAAACTTTTATTTTTTGTTTTGACACGGCACTCTGTGACCAATCAGCCTCTTTTGCAATGAGTGTTTTGAGTTAAATAGTTCATCAGGACGTGACACTATGAGTTTTTTTTCTCATGATATTCAAACTTCCTGACATATTAAATTATCTACAATTCATTATCAATCAAATTATAAGAAATATCAGTTTAAAATGACATCTGTGTAACAACTGTTTGAATTTCACTTTGTGAAATAAGGGTAAAAAACCCTAAAATTTTTTACACAATATTCCATTCAATTCAGTTTATCTATATAGCGCCAATTCACAATACCTCATCTCAAGGCACCTTACAGTTCACCAGATCATAAAGTCAAATTGATTGAAATTTTTTTTCTATCTAAGGAAAACCAGTTGATTGCATCGACTCATTGGCACAAGGGCAATGCTTGTAGCGACAATGGAGAGGAAAAACTCCCTTTTAACAGGAAGAAACCTCCAGCAGAACCAGGCTCAGTGTGAGCGGCCATCTGCCCGGGCCAGTCAATCAGAGAAACAGGACTACACTGAAAAACAGGCCAATCTCCAACATCTATAAACAAAGGTGTTGCTGGCAGCAGCACAGCTGATATTTATCTCCAGGATGGTGTCACAGCCAAACAGGAACAGACCAAATGAAGCTACTATGAGAAAGAGCAAAATGAGCATAACGTTAGAGATTGAACTAACAGATTCTGCAGAGTGGGAGAAAAGAGATAGAAATGAAGCAGAACGATGATAAAGGGGTCCCTATGTCCTCTTAGCAGTCTAAGCCTATAGCAGCATAACTATAGAGATAGCTTTGGATAATCTGAGCCCCCATATTCCAACATTAACATGTGCCTAATCACCACGTTTACACATCGCACACTTTCATTAATTTTTCTCACTTTGCATGTAGATCTATGATAAAGGTTTAAACGTATTAAAAAATACTGAAAATGTAGATTAGATTTTACAGAGCACATAATAGTGAATGATGTGTTTTGATTGGTCATCAAATTGTGAAAAAATAATTTGGTTGACAGCAAAATAAAATAAATATCTCCTTTAAAAAAAAATAGTTTTTACGATGAGGAAATAAATGAAACCTTGAAGAAAATGGTGTAACTCACTATTTCTAGCTTCACGAGTCATATAATCAACAACCAGACAACAGGAAGTAGCAGGAGGATGATGATTTATATGAAGAACCTCATCCACAGATTTTTAAATAGTATTTCTTATCTAATGAAAAAAGTTATTTTTTTTTTAATCTGACATTGAAAGAATATTGATTATGTTTCGCAAATATTTGTAATGGAAATGGAGCCATTCTGAATAAAGTCAAGGAATCAACCCCTGTAAGAAATGTACCACCTTTATTATCCAAATCTCCCAGTCAGAATGACAGTCATGAACCATGAGTGGAAATCTCAACAAACAATAACTGTCAGTTTAAGACAAAAAATAACAAGAGATTATTCAGAACATCTTGCATTCAGCACACAGTTGGACATATTCGGGTAGAAGGAAGCGCAAATGAATGGGGTCTCATATCACTTCACACATGAGACATAGATGACACACATGGATCTGACTCTTGGCCTCCAAAATATGCCTCATATCCACGTCTGGATACAAAATAATGTATAAACAGCAGATTTAAATGCGACGTTAGTCTGAAACATGAATGCAGGAGGGGATCAATTAACATGTATGGCTTCATAGCTGCAGTCCATCCAACACGGGATTCCCGTGTTTTACAGGACAGGACCTTCGTCAGCTTATTTAAGGCAATGAAGGCCGTAAGGGCAGCCTTCTGGTATTTTACAAGTTTGTGTTTTAAAACTGCTCAAATTTTTTTTATTTTTTATTAGTTCAGTTTATAATAATAACAATAATAAAAAAAACAATAACCACAGTTTATAAGTCAAAGATTGTCCAACCTAGTTTGAGAAATCATGTCGCATGAAAGAACGCTTAGAACGTCCACAGCTTAAAATAGGAGAACCAGGGGTGGGGGGTGCACATTTAAAATCAAATAAAAAACTGGGCACTTTGGAGAAATGAGTTTTTCTTTTAATGTTTCCATCTATGGGTCAAAACTATTACAACTTTTTATTTAAATGATCTAGAATTAAATATTTTTGGTTAAACAATGATAGACGGCGGGCAGATTTATTGATATAACGTGTAAAAGAACTGGAGATAAATGTCTCTTTTATTCCAGCAGCATAAAATTCAATCCAATTATAAAGTCCTCAAGCCTGGCTATAGAGAAGAAATATTTAGCGAGAGGGATTTTATGAATACCGAATCACCTCTGCGCTAAAAATCGTTTAGAACTAAATGAAAGAGGCACATTTCAGTGGAGTTTCAAGCTAAACAGTTAAATTCAATGAAACTTTCCCATAGAATTAATAACGCATACTGGACCATGAATCTTTACTGGAACTATGAGCTTTGGTCGGATGGGATCCAGACTGATTGCAGAGTGCAGAAATGATTATAGTCCACCTCAAAGCCTGGAATGAGAGCATTTATTCTACATCATGTAGAGTTTAGCTCATATTTTTTGCCGCCTTGCTCACTTGTTGTGTGATAAAATGAAAGCCGAAGGGCAAATGAAACTGGAGTGTATGATTTTACACGATACACAGAAGTATGAACAACATCTTTTTAAATAATGTAAACATTTACATCTTGTCTGAGGTCACAATGATCCTCTTCATATCAATATTTATAAAAAAAAAACAACAAAAAGCGGTTACTGAAGCATAGTTCGGATGTTCTTCGGAGTGGACTCGTCGTTCAGATGCTTCGTAGTAAACCTGAGGAGACAAAGAGGGTAAAGAAACCCTTAGGTTGTGAACTTGGACAACAAACAGGATCCTGAAGCTGTGATCGGTTGGAGGAGTACAAAAAAATACAGCAACCACATACTTGAGAGCATTCAAGAGCCCTTCAACGTTATCTGCTGGTTGATCCTTCAGCACCTTTATGCAGCCTTTCATCTGGGGAAAAAAACCCCAAAACAAACAAGTCAGGATGAACATGCTGAACTCAACAGCCTGTCTCAGCTCTACAGAAGTCCAGCAAAAGGAAAGTCCTCTTACATCTATCTTGGAGGACTTGTTAAAAGCGCCGTTCGGATGGACGTGGTCATAAAGAATGATGACTCCCACCATCACCCGTATGCAAAACAGCAGCGTGTCCTCGCTGCTGAAGCGACTCGAATACTCCCTAAACATAAAGTAGAACATCAGTAAATGTTGCCTCGACCGTTGCCTATGAGGGTCGTTGACATCCTCTGGTCGGAGGATGGGCAGGTGTATTAAAGGAAAGTTGAGTGGAAGGAAAAAGGTGAATGTGCAAAAACTCACGGTGTCTCCAGCATGACCTTACAGACGCTGGCCATGGTGCTGAGGCAATCAGTGGTGTTCTCCAGTGGAAGACTTTTATTCTAGAACAATCCAAGAACACAAATATTGGGACTGATAGCTAGCGGCTAATTAAATACTGATTGGCAAGAATTTGTATCATGACACCTTAAATTTAGTTTTGGATTCAAGATTGACTTGTTTTTCAAAGGTTTTATTGCCAAATAAAGTAGTCTTGGAAATCTCTTCTGGAAATCTGGACTAAGGGCTGATTTATACTCAGAAACCAGGTCGTCTGCGTGTGTGTCACAGTTAACGCTGTATTATAGCCAAAGTGTCCAATGCTCTTTGTCCAAACGGACATTGTTTGATAGAAACATTGGTATTAAGCTAATAGATTTTTTTTACTTATTCTTCTTCCTGATTATAGAAAAAATAAAAAATCTAAAATGTTTCTTTGTTACTCAGATTAAAAAAATTTTTTTTTCCTTTATCTCCTTCCATGTAACGCAGCTCATGTCAAAAACCTTTTTTACCATCCTCGCTCTCACCTCTGTGACGAAGTTCGTCGTAGCGGTGCTCAGTGTTTTCAGCATGGGCGTGGCCTCAGCATAGAACAGAGACATCCTATTGGCCATCTCATTGTTGACTTCATTTTCAATGTCCAGCTACGAAGAACCAATAACAACCAATAACTAACAGGGTCTGATTTCATTTCATATGTGTCTATGGTAGAAACCAAAGTCTTACGTTCATGTTGTTTATCCGGTTCCGACTGATCGTCCTCCTGTAGTAGCTGAAGTCGTTCTGGATGGCAGGAATTCTCATCTGCATCAATCAAGACAAGCAAACAATCCTCAGCTGACACAGCCGCTGCTTTATGTGACTGAGTGGAGGTAGGTTGATCTGAGCGGAACGGACCTTGAGTTCATCGAAGCGCAGCGTGAAGTGGAGGATCTCTGCGAACTGCTTGGCCAGTGCCTGCTCCCTCTCCAGATGCTGTGTGGGGGTGAGGGGTGGGCACGTCAGAGACACCAACAAACTCTTCAATGCCTCCTCTGCAGAAAACAGAACAGCACACATCAGCTGGTTTTTCATATGAAGTAAACATTTCATTTGGCCCTAAAATAAGGCGTTGAAGTGTGGTTATGTAGGACAGAAGGGGGACACCTAATCTGAGGGAGAAGCTGTAGAACTTCTTGAGTTTGATGACCAGCGGGCAGACGGCGTCCCACGCTCGCTCCTGAAGCGTCCTGTTGTTGGGATTTTGGATCGCCTGGAGAAGCAGGAATCAAAGCAACAGATTCATAAACCGTTCAGGTCATTATGTACCAACATGATCACCAATGAATGGTGATCCTGCACCAACATCCTGGTTAAAACCTTCAGCTGATAGATGATGGCTTTAAAGCCGGGCGTACACTGTGCAATTTTATCAATTGCTGCATGCAGATACTGCTCACACTGTACGACGAAACAACAGGGTTTAGTCGTACAGTGTGAGTTCACAGCTCACGAATTTGTTTGGCCTGACGCTCTCACGCGATCTACCTGCTCACACTGCACGACTAAAAACCATGTTGGCCTCAGCTCCGCGGTGAGATGGAGCTGCTCTGACTCTTCTATCCGGAAGTCAAACAAATAGAAGAGGAATATGAAGCTCACTAGAGTGAAACGCGCTGCCTTGGCAGTTTGTGCAATTTTGTGCTGAAAGCCCTAAATAGAAAAGGAGACTACGTATTTGGAAAAAAGACATGGCTGAGCAAACGTGGCTACTATGGTCTGTCAATTTTAAAGACAGAACTGCATTTCAGTCATTGCATCCCTGCCATGCTGCTGTGTTTACATCTGAGAAGAAGAAGAATAATCCTTGTTTGCCCACTGAGCGATTTGCCCACAACGGTCCGGAGAAAATCAAACATTTTCCTGATTGGGAGGTGGTAATGAGAGGGTGATCGCCCTTCGTAACCCCCTGTGCACTACACGACTCACAATCAGGTTGAAAGTCGGCCCGATTGGAAAATTATCGCACGACTGGAAAATCGCCCGTAAAATCGCACAGTGGCTTGGCTTAACCAGATCTTTAAGTGTCTGTGGAAAGCTGCTGCTGCTAGTTTTCTTACATCTCTGATCTCCTGCCCCGCCCCTTTATACGCCTGCAGACCCGTCAGGATGCTCTCAGAGTCTTGCAGGACAGAGTTCACCTGGTTCCACACCTCACGCTCTCCTTCTGTCGGCTGTGCATCTAGAAACGACCAAACCATCATTACACTCAACAATTAAACCCCATCTTCAGGCTGTGCACATTTTTCACTTTATTTTTCTCACATTTTTACCTGAAAGGAAATGAGTAAGAATAAAAAAAATCTCATGACACAGAGAACAGAACCAAGCATTTAAAGGAAGAGAGTAAAGAACAGGAAGAAAGAAAACATTCAGCAGATAGAAGAACTGAATATTATTTCCTATTTTGAAAATTTTAATATGAAACATAACGCTGAGGGGTTTGGTGTCTTTAAAAATTTTTAATTATACATCAAAGTTGGTATCAAATATTTAAAATAATGATTATATTGTTCTTAAATCCTATTAATACACAGTTCTAATTTAATTAATATACGTTTAGGATCTAATAATTTTGAACTATTTTATTTGGATGAGATCAGATATCTATAAAAACTCTATAAAGGTTGTTGTGATCAAAGACTTGGCTCAGTCCACAAATATGTCGTTATTAACCCCACTTAACATCCACCGGGTCGCTGGTGACCTGGTTTAAAGAATCCTCTAAAGTATCCCTGCATCCGGATTATGATGTGGATCACCAACATTTAATGCATTGTTCCTTGGACTGAGGTGCAGTTTTGGTAAAAATGTAATTAAAATCCATTCATAATAGGGCTGCAAAAAACTACAATTTTGCCGTTCGATTAATCTGTAAATATTTTTTTCTATTAATTGATTAATAATAGGATAGCAAAAAGCTCCTTAAAGGAATAGTACACCCAAAACATGATTAGCCTTCATTTTCTACTCACCCCCATGCTGAACAAAACTCTGGAGTACTTTTTTGATATCTCAAATGCATCTGGAGATCTGGGAGGCTTCTTGCTGTCTGCTGACATTCAAATAATGGAGGTCTATGGCGCCCGAGACAGAAAGGTCCATAAAAGTCCACAAAAACGTGTCAATATTCCTCCATACTGCTCGTCCAATGTAATCCAAGTGTCCTGAGTGGGTAGCATCCAGAATTTACTCGAAACGAAGTGATTTAGAACGTTTTAGAGCCTAAACAGTAGTGTATAGGATTTCCTAATAGCGCCCCCATGCGCGCTCACGATTCTACGGAAGCCGGCAGACCAAACCGGAAGAAAGTGCGCATTCAGCGTCTGCTCTGCCGATAATGCAAGCGTAGAAGAAGAAATGTGCTGTTTACCTGTGCAAAGAAAGAAAAAAAGAAAGAAAAATGTCTGAGGACTTCAGTGTTGAGGAAGAGCATGAGTTCTTTGCCGAGCTGAATGCGCTGGTTTGGTCTGCCGGCTTCCGTAGAATCGTGAGCGCGCATGGGGGCGCTATTAGGAAATCCTATACACTACTGTTTAGGCTCTAAAACGTTCTAAATCACTTCGTTTCGAGTAAATTCTGGATGCTACCCACTCAGGACACTTGGATTACATTGGAAGAGCAGTATGGAGGAATATTGACACGTTTTTGTGGACTTTTATGGACCTTTCTGTCTCGGGCGCCATAGACCTCCATTATTTGAATGTCAGCAGACAGCAAGAAGCCTCCCAGATCTCCAGATGCATTTGAGATATCAAAAAAGTACTCCAGAGTTTTGTTCAGCATGGGGGTGAGTAGAAAATGAAGGCTAATCATGTTTTGGGTGTACTATTCCTTTAAAGAAGATTTATGTAGAGATTTAAACCAGGTGAAACCTAAAAGTTTTCTACTTGAGTTCTGAATATCGCACTTTGAGGGATAAAAAAGGCTTTTGAATCTTAAGTACAAAATATTTATATTCTGTTTTTTTAAACATTTTTGGTGGTTACTGCTCCAAGTGGGTTGCTCCGTCAGCTAAAGACATGTTTTAGTCCCTACACTCCAGTTAATGATTAACCAATTACTAAATTACTTATTATTTTAATAATAGGTTAATCATTATTAATCCCTTAACTGTTTCAGCCCTAGTTCATAACTTAGTTATTCTTGTGTAGCTCTTATTAAGTTATTCTGTATACAAACTCCACTAAAAACATAACCTCCTTGGCATGGGGCAGGTAATAATTGTGTTAAATGGGCAGATCATTTGAGAGTTGATGTGAATTAAAATCAAGTCCAGACAGACTTGGGGATATCATCAAACACTGCATCATCGTCCTGAACAACCCCTAAAACATCGTTTGTGAGTTGTTGGTGTTTTTTTTAAATCCTTCTATTGAATCATGGTTGAAAAGCAATGACTTTCATTTGCTCCTTTTCATAGAATATTTAGTTTTTATTAGTGTTGTGCCGATGCCATTTTCTGGCCCCGATACCTGGCTGTGCAGTATTGGCCGTTACCATCAGTTTGAAATTGATGTGTGTGTGTGTGTGTATATGAAGAACTGCATTCTACTTGGATGTAAAATAATTGCCATCATGGCTTTGTCAAGCTGCTGCCTACCTTTGTGAAGCAGGAAAAAGACTAATACAAAGTGAATCCAGTATAACTTTTTATTGTCTACCTGGAATGGGTGACACTAATTGAATAAACTTTTGGCTCTATAAATGGTATCGTAGCCCTATTTGTTGGTACTCGCTGATACCACCATTTTAGTGCTGGATTGGGGTCCTGCCCATACTGGTATCGGTGCAACACTCATTTTTTTTTTTTTTTTCTGTGACCATTTGTGGGTTTTTCTTTCATTCAACGAGGGGTACAGACAATTTTGTCCATGTGTATATGTATCTATTTGTGCTCATAACCATTATTTTCAACCCTGAATGGGACATTAGAGTGGATTAAAACTGGTGCACCTCAGTTTTTATTCTTAAACTCACTATTGAACAAATATAACCAATCTCAAAGTAATGTCCTCTGTTTGCAAACTATCATCGGAACCATTGGAAATAAGGGCGCATGGACGACTTCATCAGAAGATTTGGGATTAATAAAATCCAAATAAGTTATACAGCTAATAGTAGCTGTTTACACATATAACAGTTTGCATGAAACCTAAATATCACAGTGTTTTTATATCATTTCCAGGAGCAACTTTAAAAATAGAAAATCCCTTCCATTAAAACTGTGTCTGTTTTACATTTCAAAAACATTCTATTCCTATCGTTTCCTCTCTGGTGAATAAACAAAGCCTGAGGTTGGCTGCGCTGGGAGAGCAGCTGAAATGCTACTGTGGAGGTGTAGTGTGACTCTGTTCTTTCTCGGTGGGAGGTCTCAACTAAAGCATATAGCTTCATCCTAGTTTCTGCCACTGAGGAAAGTTCAACTAACACTTTATATAAATGTTTGCACTAATTATAAGAACGGATAAAGGAATAAAATATGTTAAACGTTGATTGATCATCACAGAAAATAGAGACAGAAAGATGGATAACAGAAACATACATTCAAAGGAAGACAATAGAGATGTTGAACAGGCTGACCTCTGACCCTCCAAACAACAGGAGAGAAGTTCAGACAAAAGATGGAGGGAGAAAAGGGACAGGAATAAAGTCATGCTCACTTTCAAAGTCAAGGAAAAAATTTGGCCCCTGTTCAAGCTCTGTGCAAGTGAGAACTTTTAACAGATTCCCCATTTGGTTTCTGCAAGACAGAGAGGAAAAAAAACAGGGAAAGGAAGAAAAGGAGTTTGTGTTAAAAAGAGCATTAAAAAGTTATCTGATAGAGCAGGAGGTCTTCACTGGCTGAAGGAAGGAGCAGAGGGAGGAGAAGGAAGAAGAAGCGCAGGAGGACGAAGTGGAGCGAGAGGCGGCTTTTCGTTTCCATTGTTTGTCATCTTGAGCAGAAAGGAAAAACAAACAAACAGCTGAGCAGGCTACACCCCACCCCCTCCACACATGGCGCTCCACTCGGCAGGCACACTTACTTTCAAAATCCAGGAAAAAGTGCGGATAGTTCTCTATTTCTCTTGTAAGGACTTTTAGCAGGTTACCCATTCCAGCAAACCTGATGGTGTAAATAAAGGGGTTAAAAAACAGCCATAGGACACAGTTTATGGTCACACAATCAGGAAAAGCTGAGCCCCCATATTCTGTAAACCAGCACACACTAAGCCTGCCTGACTCCTCTTTACCAGCCCTGATGCAAGTTAACCTGCTCTACTTTCACACTGCGTTACTTTTAGATCCTTTTCCCTGAAAGATGACATTGTGGCTATGAAATCATTAAGACGGGTAGCATGGCCAGCTTCCAATTTATTTTATTTTAGCTTCAGGAAGTACTTAGTTACTTCTTCTGCAGCTGGTGCTGATTTCTCCCTCCAGACAGAGGGGAGAGAAAACCAGAACTTGTTTAACCTCATTCTGATATTTGATCTCCTAGATCACATTAGCACCTGTATTTAGATGTTCTAAATTCTGGATTGGTCTTTTAGAGATATATATTTTTTTATATATATATCATAATATTGACTCAGATGTAAGATGTTTATTTTTAATTTTTCTTTGTTTTTGAACCAAAATGAATGGTTCTGCTGTTTTAACAGATTTCTGTATTAATACTCACACTTCCTTTCGAATTTAAGCCTTTTTTTTTTTCCTAAAACAGGGGTGGAGTCGTAAATTACAGCTTTGCTCTATAAAGCTCCTTACTGGAGGCAAGAAGAAGCAGGTAGGTAGTAATTTCCAGGGGAAAAAGTCCCTGATGGTGGAGGGTGGTCCAAAACTCTGTAATCACAGCACCATTTTAAACTTAAAAAAAAAAAGTGTGCGAGTTATGGTTAGGATTTAAACATCACAATTTAGCACATGGGTGCAGATGCAAAAGCTGGTTTCATAAACAAAGACAAACAGAAAACTTGTCAGGAATTTAAGGTCAGAAGTTGGCACCCTGTGCGAAGGAACTAAAAACAGCATAAAATCTCTCATTGGTTAATATGGAGTGACAACAAAAGAGACACTGTGTGGCAGCGTGCACATGATAATCACACAGCACAGCCTCCAGCGCGCTGCAGTCCATTTTTATTCTTTTCAACCATGGCTTTTCCCCCACTCATCACTTTAAACCAAGAGTTTGCAGGGTTACATCCTGCAGGACATGCTTTGATCCCATTAATATAAATATGTTGAGACTCATTAACATGTAGCTGCGTCCAGTCAGGCACAACAAGGCGCCACCAGAGGGCGCTGCCAATTTGTTTATAATTCTGGAGCCTGAGAGTTTAAAGTTGTACCACAGGGGTGTCATGTCAGTACATGCTGTGGAGGCCAGAGTCTAACCTGCAGCTACAAGTTCTTCAACACTCTCTCCCTCCTTTGCTTTTACTGCCCTCAAGTCCTCAATCATTGAAAGTGAAAGTATCTTCAGTGATGAAGATCAAATGGCTTTCAGATGCATGAAAACAACTTCTCACGGATCATGTGAGCCAACTTTGATCACATGATCCGTGAGAACTATGTTTTCAGCATTCTATACATTTAAGGTGGCTTAAATTAAAGAAGAGTACTTCAAGAGCTTCTTCCACTCTCGGGTCTATTTTAATAGATTAGCTCTGTGAAAATGAACAGAAACAGATTCACCTCTCTGTAAACGCGTTAATGCTCCGAGTGTGCGTTGCTATAGCAACACTTCTGCACTACAAAGGAAAAATCTCCCTGTATGACACTCTGAAGAAATATTAGAGCAGTAAGCAGGTTGTTCTATTAACTGGAAGTCAGGCTACAGCTTTGTATATTCAGTTGTGGTTGAAGGTTAATATATGCTCATCATCCGTGGGAAGGTTGTTAAATCTGCATCTAGTTCAATGTCCCATAACTAACTGTGCCTCGACAACAAATACTTTACATTCATCATAATTTGGCTGGATATCAAGCCACTTTCCTCGGCAGAATTCAAAGCGCTTGGTCTGCTGCCACAGCTAAGGAATTATCCAGGAGACTAAGAAATACAGCCCTGCTCTAACACTTCCAGACTGACTCAAATCTAAACTGTTTGTTTCATTGGAAATCTCTGATTAAATAAAGAAGTAGAAATTATTTAACTCAAGTTTTAAGGTCAAGTCTGTACCAGGAAACATGACAACATGTTTGCAGGTAACTACTGGTGTGTGCATGTATAAAGCTACAGAAGCAGCCAGCGTAACTAATCCAATTGATGCAATATTTATCAAATTCCTGTTTTTGAAAATTGGAATTTTGTATCCAGTCCAAAATGAATCACACTCCTTCCAGAGATGATGGTAAGAAACTTCCCTACCAGGACTGCATATGTGGAAGTATTGAACCAACATATCTTAGGACCTGTTGCTCTGCTTGCTTTCTGGAAGGAAACGACAGGTTTTGTAAAGAGCTTAAAAGCATTTATCTAGATGAAAGGATTAGCTTGAATGAGTGTTAAAGCTCAGCGTCTGGAATCTCTGAGATGTATCAGAAATAAACTGCGACAAGGCGAACGCATGCCGAACTATCTGCTGAGCTTTACAGAAACACAAAGCACTTTGCTACATGAAACACCCCCCCCCCCCCCCCCCCCCCCCCCCCCCCCCCCCCCCTCCAGCCATCGGGCCTAATACCACAGGGAAGGAAAAAACACTCGGGGAATTTTTCTAGTGGAACCAGTTCCTCTTTCGTAACCATTCTTCGGCATGGCCTGGATTGAAAGTGGAAGCTCAGACTTTCCTCTTTTCCAGAATGCTTACCAGTCAGCTGGTTGAATTAAAGCGACTTTCCCAGAATATTAACCAAAAAAAAAAAAGAAATCACAAAATCTCTGATTTACTAAATTACAAAGAACTCCTGATATAAGTCCTACCTTCAAAATATCTAAAAAACACAAATGAAATACATTTTTTTTTTCTCCGATAGGAGATGAAATGGTAAAACTCTCTAAATATAATGAAGTAAAATAAAATGCATTTTACAAATATTATCTGCATCTGCATCAATCAAGTCATTAATAAAATGACAGAATTTATGGTATTCTAACCCTCATGCAAATACCTTAAATTTTTTAAACCCAACTGGACGAAGTTAAGAGAAATTTCTCCTGCCTAAACGCAGACATTCCTGCTGCAGATATTAAACCATGTTATTTTTTTTTTCTATCAGTGTTAGATGCCCTTCTGTGTGTTATTAGGGCACCAATACATCATTTTGATCTTAAAAGCTTTCTTCAGAGGCTGAATTTTCCCAGCAATGCCTTTACATCGAACTAGTAGATTTCTCTAACTGCTTCAGACTGAAAAGTTTTCATTAGTTTACCTTTGCTGATTTTAGAAGGCTTATAAGTTTTTCGTTTTCGTGTTGACTTTGTGAGACTTTCATTTGGACCCATAATAAAAAGTTTCTTAAAAACTTTTTAAGGAGTCAATCCTTGGAAAAGCCTTTCCTAATTTACTGTTAGCAGAAAATCTAATCCCAGCTCTGCTCATGTAAACCTCTGTGTTGTTAACAGGCTGATGTGTCTTAGTGGTGGATTAGATTGTGCTCCAACTCAAACACAGCTACACAAGCTGGTTAAACAGTTTTCTACTTCTTAGATGTGGAGGTGTCTGTGTGATGAGTTTACCTTCTCCAATGGAGGACCTCAGGTTGTTGTCTATAGCATTCGCTTCTCCTCTCTGAAAAGCAAAAAGAAAGCATAAATTAGACCAGTTTTGACTGTGTTAACATGTTCATACTAGAAATGAATAAAATATAAAAAGATCCTCCATCACAACTATCAAATTTCCTTCCTCTTTTTTCTTGGATAAACAAAACGGCAACCCAGAGATAAAAATTGGATTAATCAGCACAGAAATCTACCCTCCTGTGTGTCATATGAGAGAAAGCTGCAGAAGCTACGCTCTGCTGCACGTTTACTGGAGTATTAAATGATCTGAGACGAGGTGCGGCTGCTAAAGATCGCCATGATTCGCTGCAACACCATCCGGGCGCAGACAAGGGAATAAACAGACAGCAGAACCATCCCTCAACATATTGACTGCAGGCAATCAGACAGTAGTGGTGTTGAAGTATATATATGCAAACTCCTTGCGGTGCGAGCAGATCTAAATTAGAGCAGCAACAATAAAGCTGGTCGTAATATTATCTTGCATGCTGGGTTGTGGCTTGGAATGCTGTTTTATGGACCCATGTGCTGCAATTCATCTTGGACTGACTCTGACCAGTTCTCTGCTGGCTCCAAATCTCTGACTACAGGATCAGAGCTGGAGGCAAATGTTCAGACATAACTGTGAGTGAAAAGTGACAGCTTTGCAACTCTATTTCAGCTTTTATCATCATGGGAGATAGTGATAGGGCCAAACTGTAATACGCTAATGAATAGAGAGAATGCCTGGACAATCGCACCACAAATTATCCTGAACTTATGAAAACTATTCTAATTTGGATTTAACCAAACCAAGGAGTCTGAATAATATAGAGAAAATAAAAGGCACAGCTGGTAAAGAAATGAAAGAAGCAGATTATTTACATCCACTCACTTACATCCGCCATGTGCCAGTTTCAGGCCATAGAAGCAGTTCACGGGGAGGTCGGATGATGCATTTTTTAAATGACCCACTTTGGTTCTGTCAACAGAGAGACCATATCGGGTTTACATGTAAAGTCATTTAGACCCCTAATTCTTGGAGTTGGGGTCGTGACCCTAACCGGGGTCACATTTCAACAAGTCTGGGCTCTTAAGATCCTCTAAGAAAATACACTGAACATTAAGAATGATAATGATTAAAAAAAATTATGCGCCTAGAGAAATCATAACATCACCTAGAAATGACTAAAAATAAATAAATGGGTTATTGATGCTGTTTTGATAAATGTTATGACTACTGTTAAGAAACGTTTTAAGTAGATTTATATTTTAACCAAATATTTTGGGTCATGAATCCATTCTGTTGGTTTTTTGCAATTCAGAAGCCAAAAAGGTTTGGGATCCTCTTTCGACAGCATCTTTTATGTTTTTATGTTTAAAACCAAGAATTATTAATAAGGGTTTATAGAGGAATGAGTAACTTTTAATGCTCTTAGATCTAATTTTACTGATTTTACTAATTTATATTTAACATGTTTAGCTCTATAACATTTAAATGCACCACTCTAATGTCTAAGAGAAAAAATTTAATGAAAATTTTTTAATGTATGACCTGCATCACTGTACAGAAGACTGCCATATGATAGAAATATTTACACTGTGCGCATACAATTATTATTATTATTTTCCTAATCCCTGACTGATCATTTTTAATCTAGCGTGTATTATAGTATAGATTAATTCTTCATCCAGCTGCTGCTCTGCAGAATTGTCTTCCCAAGGAGAGAAAAATCACACGGGCTTTTCAAATCACGCGAGAATGTGTACAAAACAACAAAAATGGCGCCGGCAACGCTTGTGGGTCGTTTTCAGCGAATGTCGGTGATTTTAAAGTAATTTTGAGTGATAAATAATGCCCGCCGGGCAAATGCAATGAAGTTTGTACTCTCCCAACAATAAAAACTACTTGTCCCGGGCGATCGGGCAATGGTTAACATCTAGCCCTGCATTCACACCAGTGGCCTGCTGGAGGTCATTTTGTAGGGCTCTGGCAGTGCTCCTCCTTGCACAAAGCAGCAGATACCAGTCCTGCTGATAGGTTGTAGACCTTCTACAGCCCTGTCCAGCTCTCCTGGAGTAACTGCCCGTGTCCTGGAATCTCCTCCATGCTCTTGAGATTGTGCTGGGAGACACAGCAAACCTTCTGGCAATGGCACTTATTGATGTGGCATCCTGGAGGAGTTGGACTGCCTGTGCAACGTCTGTAGGGTCCAGATAGCGCCTCATGCTAACAGTAGTGACAGTGACCCTAGCCAAATGCAAAACTGGTGAAAAAGAGTCAGAAAAGATGAGGAGGGGAAAAAATGTCGGTGGCCTCCAAATGTAAAACCATTCCTGTTTTGATGGTCTAGTGCACCTGTTGTTAATTTCATGAACACCAAAGCAGCTGAAACTGATTAACAACCCCCTCTGCTACTTACCTGAACAAATTAATATCCCAGAAGTTTAATTAACTTGATGCTATACTCTGATTACAAAGTGTTCCGGCAAAATTCTTTGTCATCTTTACCGACGATAGGCTGCAGCCATGTCCCGAATTCCTCGTTTTCCAGCCACTTTAGTTGAAATTAGCATTTTCAAATACTTTTTCTCCAACTTGAGCTTCTTTTCCGAACAAACGGCTTTAAAATCAACTGGAAGCAGTTCCGTGCAAAACGAAATTGTTTTCAGAAATGTTTTTTTAAATAATGCATTTTAAATGCCACTATAATCGAATTTAATGAATAATAATATAATGAAAATAATAATTTAATGACTTTTAATGATTTTTAATGACCCACGGAAACCCTGTTAATTAAATAAATACGTTACACCTCCTTCTCTCTCTTTGTAACCAAAATGTGACTCTTTTTCCTGGTAGTGGTGTGTTTATCTACCATGACCTTTACGTACATGCCTGGGGTTCTCATCTTAGGCCCGTTTTTGTAGGAGTGTCGCAGCACCACCAAAGGACCAAGTTTACATACAACAGCCTTAGATTTATACCATCAAATTCGTAGGGAAGCGGCTGTTCCAACCGTTGCAGTTCTGAATTCTCCCGAGTGGTGCACGACTTTACACGAGTGAATAAAGTGAACGTGATTGGTCGATTATCAAGGGGGTGGGATTGTTGTGGCAGAAGGTTTGCAAGCACGTTTGGTTGTGGCCAGTTAGTCAGAAGCATCTTGCTAACCAGTTAGCAACTTAGTGCTAGTAGGTTCCCGATGGGAAATTACATTGGGACCAAGTAGCACTAAATTGGTGACTTGACGCTGTCAAGGAACGCTATGGACAGAGGAGGAGAGTTTTGTGTCAGAGGTGGATGAGTCTCCTCTGTCATACATTTTTTATTTAGAGGAGGAAAGCGGGACGAAGATGTTGTGGAAGAAGACGCCAGGGCGGCAGAAGCTTGTTTTGGTGTAGAAAGCTTACAGCCGTACATGTTTGAGCTCTTGCCTCGCAACACTGCCAGTTCTGTTAGCTCTACGCCTGCAGAAGACACAGACGTCCATCTTCGTGAACACTGGGACGGAACTCAATGCGTAAGGAAATGATTCAAATTTCTTATTTCAACTAGGGCTGCAACTAACGATTATTTTAAAAATCGATGAATCAGCCAATTATTTTTTCGATTAATCGATGAATCGGACAAAAAATATTTTTTATATTAACCTCTTTATTCCAAAATAAACATTTTAGACAGAACAAACAAGCACACAAGTACAGGTTGCTCATTAACTGTACTGGTTCAATATGAAAAATAAATGTTTGTGTTAAAACTACGCAAACTTACATGAGAAATGTAGCTGTACATCCACAAAATATAGGGTACTTTGTTTCATAAAGCGCAAAAAAAGACAGGCATTTTTGTTTTTAAAAGCCCCTAAGGGGTTCAAACAATAGGTCCCCCCATTTCAACAAATGAGGTTTTTATAGACTAGAAGAGTTCTGCCTTTTAAGACAGGAAAGTATAGCAGTTAAAGTTACTTGAGAAAATACTGAACCATAGAGATAAAAATAGCCCTGTGATTCAAATTATAATTTGTATTTGGAATAAAAATGAGAGAACTAGGGGTGGGGAAACGTTGCGTTTCCCCACTTTAAAATGAAAAACATGGTTACTCATCCTGCTGATCAGCTCTCTTCACTGCCATCGAAGGCTCCAACGTGTTTTCTTTTCGGGTGCTGCATCATAACAGTGGTGCTTCCGTGCCATGTTAATCTGTTTTTACAAAAGTTGCATGTTACGACTTTTTTTCACTTTACAAAGCGCAGGCTATTTTAATTATTGTGATCAATTTGCGCCGTCAATCCCGGCGCATGCGCGCTTCATTTGCAGTCTGGACGGGTTTGGGATGGGGGAGGCGCCCCACGGCAGCAGGTGCTGCTGGAGGAACAATACATGCTTTCACGTAAGAGTCTCCAAAAGCCGACAGTGACACCGTAAAAAGTCGCCATATTTGTCGCCAGTCGCTTTTTTGAAAAATAGTCGCTGGAGGGGTCTGAAAAGTCGCTAAATATAGCGACAAAGTCGCTGAGTTGGCAACACTGCTCCTGCAGTGCTGCCGTATTTTTTTTTTTCTTCCCCCGTTTCAGTCAAGTGGCAGTGATGACGACGGCGGCGGATGACGCATTAATCGCGCGACACAACTAATCGATGATGAAATTCGTTACCAACGCTTTTAAAAGTCGATTTTGATCGATTTTATCGATTCGTTGTTGCAGCCCTAATTTCAACCATATGAATCAAGATGCTATGAAAAAAAATTTGATTGACAGATGACTGTTGATATACAGGTGCTGGTCATAAAATTAGAATATCATGAAAAAGTAGATTGATTTCAGTAATTCCATTTAAAAAGTGAAACTTGTATATTATATTCATACATTACATACAAACTCATATATTTCAGATGTTTATTTTGTTTAATTTTGATGATTACAAATGACAACAAATGAAAATCTCAAATTCATCATATCAGAAAATTAGAATATTGTGAAAAGGTTCAAAATTGATGGCCCCTGGTGCCACACTCTAATCAGCTAATT